GGGACACAACTCTGCACAGTAGTTGCACTGAGCCACACTAACACACAGGTATACAGGAACTATGACATGGGATCTTTTCCTACGGAAGATAACATACATACAAACACAGTCGAGTCAGGAAATGGTTTTATTTCTGTATCTTCCACACAAGCATCTTGCACACATAGTTCAGGGTTCCATTGTCTATGAGCCACGAGTCTTCCAGCACAGCAGAAAGAACATGATTGCTCCTTGAGACGTCAATCTGATCACTGCCACAGCAAGCTGGGGAGAGAAACACATCCAAGGTTACAATAGAGTCTTCTAGGGACACAATGAGGCTACAACAATCGCCACAGTGCTTTACGTAAACACAGCACTACGTAAGAGTGAGTGAGTGAGTGAGTATGGTTTTACGCCGCTTTTAGCAATATTCCAGCAATATCACAGCGGGGGACAGCAGAAATGGGCTTCACACATTGTACCCATGTTGGGAATCGAACCCGGGTCTTCGGCGTTACAAGCGAACGCTTTAACTACTAGGCTACCCGACCGCCCCGCACTACGTAAGAAATGGGTGCCAAGACAGCACTACGTAAAGTATAGGCGTTAAATCAGTCAGGGCACAATGTAAACCATGGGTGTCACAACAGTCGTAGAACTACATAAGGGATAGGTGTTACGACAGTCACAGCGCTACATAAAGTATGTGTTTGTTTTTTTTTTCGTTTAATGGTGCACTCAGCAATATTCAAGCTATATGACAACTGTCTGTAAAAAAAAATTGAGTCTGGACCAGACAATCCAGTGATTGAAAACATGAGCATAGATCCACGCAGTTTGGATACAATGACATGCATCAACCAAGTCAGCGAGCCTGACCACCCGATTCTGTTTTGACAAGCATAGTCACCTTTGACGGCAAGCTGAAGACCTATTCTAGCTCTGGTCTTCACAGGTCCGTAAAGTATGTAAGGTAAAGCTTGATGTCTATCACTGGGGCAACTGTTCAGGTGTTAACACTTATGTATATTGTCTTCTTGAATAAAAATATAGAGCCGGGGCACTGTAGCTCATCTGGATATGTAGTCAACTATCTAAAATGTCAAGAAAGACAGCCACTGTATCAATATTCATATTCAAATATTCAAACATATGTGTTGAATCCTCCAACAAACTAAACAAATCCTACATTTGATTACATTTTGGAGACAAATGACCGAGCAATGTCCATAATTTTTCAATATGGCGGGCATGGTGAGAAGGAGAATTTCATCTTCATTGATTCCCTAGTTTCTGAGATGTTGTTTACAACTGTCAATACATGACTGATGGACAAATTCATTTGTGACACTAATCTAATTGTCAGTCAGACTTGTGTAAATCATGCCATTATCATTCACTTGTATCAAACACTGTTACTTACCAATATGCGGCTACAACTCTCTAATCAGGGCTTGTATTATATGCGAAATCACTTCAAACATGACAACATAATACAGTGTTCCCTCGTTATTGCGCCCTTCAATATAGCGCTAACTCAGTTATAGAGCACGGTAAAGCATGGCTCCCAAAATTTACTTACATTTTCAATAAACACGAGGTTTTCCCCACCTGTATATTTAAGTGACATGTCAATCTTGTATTCAGAATACGTGTGATGGGATCTACTGATCATTTCTGATAGTGGAGTTTTGTAATTAAAACTACCTACTTTGGGAAATCTTCCATGTGCTGTTGAAATGTTTTAATCACTATCTATACCTCTGTATGCTGGAATCCAGTATTCCAAGATCCAGATATGTCAGCTAAATGTGGGAGGATAGCCTGAAGTGATGCAGGTCTCAGATGTTTATCACTTTCGGGAAACCCATGATAATGGGTATCGGACTGACAAACCTAGAAACAGGATTTGAACCCACAATCACAGGTTTCTGGTATGCCCAAGGGACAAAACTCTGCACAGTGAATTGCGGCGCCTTAGATGACTTCGCCGCCCGTGCCATCAAGTGTTAACATATTTGTGCTCAGAGTGAGTGAGTGAGTGAGTTTGGTTCTACGCCGCTTTAAGAAATATTCCAGCAATATCACGGTGGTGGACATCAGAAATTGGCTTCACACATTGTAACCATGTTGGGAATTGAACCTGGGTCTTCGGGGAGACGAACCAACGCTTTTACCACTAGGCTACCCCACCGTCCCCTTGTGCTAAGATAATAGTGGATTACCTCAGTAGTGTCAAATCTGGTGTGCCTTCATCAGCCCCTTTTCTGAAACCTACAATTGAAACAAAGAAATTGAATAATTTCAGTGATGAACACATTTAAAGATAAAATATTACGCTATTCAAAAGTTGAGTGTTGTCTCTGTTTGTGGAAATTTCAAGATAATAATCCAAATGTAGGTATGCGCTGACAATAATTTACATTAGGTTTTTGTTTTTACATATAGTCTTGCAAAGATTTATATTTGATAAGCTTAATGGACATAACAGAGATTTAGGAGTTTCCTTAAATGGGACCAGGGAGTTTTCTTTTACTAAATGATTCAAGTACAATCATGACCATGTGTAGGCCTACGTTTGTTTGTTGTTTAACGCCACACTCAGCAATATTCCAGTTATATGACAGCGGTCTGGAAAATAATCAAGTTTGGACCAGGCAATCCAGTGATTGACATCATGAGCATCGATCCACGCAATTGGGATCGATGACATGTATCAACCAAGTCAGCAAGCCTGACCACCGGATCCCGTTAGTTCCTTTTACGACAAGCATAGTAGCCTTCTACAGCAAGTATGGGTTGCTGAAGACCTATTCTACCACGGAATTTCTTTTGCATTTGTTCATCATGTTTTACATGAGTATATCATGTTCATTGTTTTTAGAACTAGCACCAGATTTCAAGGTCTACATAAATTTCAATGCTGCTCTCAAACTACTGGGAATTTGTCATATATTGACCACTCCTGTGTCATTATGGTTTGCCTTAGGCTTGGAACATAATCAGCTTGTAACACCTTGTATATCTACAAAATATCACAAAGTTTTGTTTTCAGCAAATAATGCCTAAAAATTCATCGCAATGGGACATCAGAGGATCAACATAAACCAATCAAATCATTTCCTTGAAGGTGAATTAAATCTCTGGCTGCCATATTCAGATCCATTTTTAAAATTAGAGAAATAATAACACATGAGATAGCATTGGAGATGAATACAGAACACTTTCCATTTTGGCACTCTTCAAGTTGCATTTAACAGAGAAAATGTTTCTGAAAGTTTTCTTACACTCATAATACAGCTATCATTTTGAAAATACACCATGGGTTACCTCCCTTGCGTTGTGATTACAAAGTGTATAGTGATTTGTGTGTAACTTGTAATTTGAACGCATCACTGAAATCTCAAGGCAAAGGTGCCAATAAAGAATTATGTCCCTTTGAAGAAGAGTTACCATTCTTTTCGCATATGTCAAATAAACCTCAATACACCCAGTAATCTGACTGCAGCATTGAAATTTGTGTACGCTTGAAATCTTGTATTAATTTTGACCTGATTACCTGTTACAGTTTCTAGCATGTCTACTGGTCACCGACCAGTTATTGCCATTTTTTCTTGTTATTTCTAAAATATTCTGTGTACAATGTTAACTGTGCCAATAACTTTGATTTGTGTGAAACTATGAGCAAATGCGAGTAAAAAGTTTCAGTAGATTTCAGTTATAGCGCGACGATAGGGAATCAAAACAGTGGAAATAGAATTTCCCTTTGACCAACTGTACCAGTTATCTCGATCATCACTTGCAATGTGATCATGCTCACCCTGATTCAGTTATTCAAATTTCAAGTTTCTATTTTCTCTGGCATCGCACTCAATTTTTATATTCATTACAATTAATAAGAAATGCTTTTATCAACTTGTCATCTGCAAAATGACTCACATCAATATATATGGATTTCATGATATATATACAGGGTTATGCATTTTGGAAAAATAGCTCCAACAGGTTTTAGTGAGTGAGTATGGTTTTACGCCGCTTTTAGCAATATTCCAGCAATATCACGGCGGGGGACACCAGAAATGGGCTTCACACATTGTACCCATGTCGGGAATCGAACCCAGGTCTTCGGCGTGACGAGCGAATGCTTTAACCACAAGGCTACCCGACCGCCCCCCAACAGGTTTTAGAATTGTAATAGGGGGAAGAAATGATGGACAGATAGTAAGCTATGACAGAACTGAATGTACATTATCATATTGTTTGATTTATCTTTACACATGAATTAGTCTCTTCTAAAGTTGTATCTGAGCAATGGTTTCTTTTTGAATATTTCTTCACAAGAGTCAGTTTTGTTCATCATTTTTGTATAATGCTTCTTTCTTCTAATGAAATCAAACAAAAGTAAAACAAGCTGCAATCACATGTGCGCTATAACAGGGAATTGGCGATAATTGGCGATAATTGGTCCTTGTGATAACTGGTCGCTACCCAGTAGGCCTATAGCAAGACATGTGTAGGCCTATTAAGCAGGGCCAAATTAAGCATCTTGCCATGATGATGACTTAGACATGCATTTAGAAGTTGGAAGAACATGATGTTTAATAGAAAACATCATATTTGTTGTTTTTAAACGTTTCAGGGCTACATCAGGTAAAGAAGTACGTGTACTGAGTTAACATGGTTAATATACGTATTCTGATATATGTTTACATGGAGGTCATATGAAATAGCATAGAACAAGTCAGTTACCTAAATAAAGAACAGTTGGGATGAATCCCCATTGAAAAACAACTCGTGTTACATTCAGCAACGATGTAACTCTTTGCTTGGCACCTGGGCTCAACTTCACCATGATTCTGTGTCGGTTTTCTCTGCACTTTTAGTCTTGTCGAAATATATTTCGTCAAACTTGGCAGGAACCGGAACTACATGGTTTTAAGTATAGTGCGTCTTGATTGGCTTGCTTCTGGGTCAAACCAATCAAAACAGTCGTTTTATACAGGTCACGTTAGACTGTAATGGCGACGACCATGCCGCACGTGGATATTGTTGACGACAAGCCTATCGTGTGTTTACGTGCTGGTGAAAGCATCGTTCAGACAAAACCTGTATTTTCTCATGATACAAAGTTAGTTATTTTTATGCACAACTTGTTTCTAGTGACATTGTGTAAATATGACTCGACATTGATATATTTTACGAATTGTAATCACAGTCTACACTTTTCGCGCATGTGTTTTGCAAAAAATTGACATGATCCATTCCACATTATGGAGACATTTCTGTAGAAAAAAGCTACTTTGGTTCTTCTTTGAGACTAAGTACCCCTTTACCATCCATGGGGTTATTTGTGAGTCCATGTTTACCGTAAAACGGGATTGGGTAGACAGGCTTGCTGAATTGGTTGATGCATGTCATCGTAAGCCAATTGCATAGGCCTATGCTCAGGATGTCAATCACTAGATTCTCTGGTCTAGACTCGATTATTTACAGACCGCTGTCAAATAGCTCGAATATTCCTGAGTGCAACGTTAAACAAATGAGTCAGGCTGCGTTTGCTATCTCATATACATACATATTCCGAACCCGTGGTACCGCAGTCATTCATGGTATCACAGCATTTGTGATTTTCAGTAGTTCATGCGGGACACGCCCCTTAGCGGCTGTCTATTAATGCAAGTCAGTAACCAGGAAGTACTCGCTTCGTAAACAATTTCAATTTCCTCGGTGGCGCTATATGATCGAGCCCAGGAATTCCAGCCCAGTTTGGCAAGGGTGGAAACTGGACTTTTAAAGTCAGTTAACTGCGTTGCCACGGGAAGATGGCATTATACCAGCTAAATTAAACCAAGCACAAACATGTTTCAGATTTATGTTACACAGACTGTCTAACAAGGACATCATCACACTACTATTACAGAAATATTATCCAGATTAGTAGTTTTCTTGCATACTCTATCCATAATAGCTTGGGAATCACATCAACAAATGTACAGTGATAATAAGAGAATAGAATTTGCGATACACATGCTGATTTGAACAATCATTTTTGCATGTTTTTGTTCTGAAAGTTGAACATAGATCTAGTGCTTTTGGGGGTAAATTCTCTTTTAACATTAACACTTCAGCAGCCTCAGATCAGAATATGAGATTGTTTGTTTTTTTAAAACCACCCAGAACAGTATTCAATCTATGTAACAGTGGCCTGTAGATTTAACTAGATAATCCAGTGGTTGATATTATGAGCAACAATCGGCGTCAGGGTTTAATCACACTATCAGACAAATTGCCAAGCCTGATCTCTTACAACCAGCATAGGTTGCTGGGACCTATTCTAATCCGAAATCCCCCAAAGGACAAAGCAAAATTGTGTACATTGAATGTTCTACATTGCAGATGTCTGTTCTGTGGGTCGGGCAGCGCAGTAAAGGTGTACAGCACGGAGAGTGGGGAGTGTGTCCGCGAGCTGCAGGCTCACACAGACAAAGTGACATGTCTGATGCTGAATCCAGCCAACAAGCTACAGGTAATAATAGGCCATTGATACTGTGCATATTTCCACACCAGTCAGGGGCATGCTCAAAGCGCTATTATTACCCTGGTCACTGGACCAGTGTGCACTCAAGAAACATTCTCTGTTGGAATATTGCTAAAAGCTGCGTAAAACAATACTCACTCACCAAATGCCTTTCAAAGGATTGAAGGTTATGTAACTTTTCACAAGATAGAATGATTTTTAAATGTTTTATGCACAAATTGTGAGTGATGAATATATAGCAAGTCAGTAGCCCTATCAATTTATCAAAAGTCCTTGTCTTTACCTTTTTAAAAAATGTAAAAAATATTTTTGCTTCTGTTCAGCTAAATGACCCCTGATGATTTCTTCTGACTATTTCACTTAGCTCTCCATTCAAAGCTCTCTAGCCATGCTGATTTCAGTATTTGTGTTTCTGTATTATCTGCCATGTTAACATATCGGTCAGTTGGATTACTTATTGGTGCTGGTCATGTTTCAGCTGATCTCAAGTGGCCTTGATGCCCAGGTGTTCTTCTGGGACTACATCGATGGCGTCATGCTCAAGGTCAGTGTGTGTAGAATGTGTCCCCTACCCCATTGCTAGCCGTAAGAGGCAGTTAAGAGGAAACCCATGGGACCAGGTTAGAATGTGTCCCCTACACCCAAATGCTAGTTGTAAGAGGCAGTTAAGAGGAAACCCATGGGACTGGTGATAGAATGTGTTCTCCACCCTATTGCTAGCCGTAAGAGGCAGTTAAGAGGAAACCCATGGGACCGGGGATAGAATGTGTTCCCTACACCCCATTGCTAGTTGTAAGAGGCAGTAAAGAGGAAACCCATGGGACCGGGGATAGAATGTGTCCCCTACACCCCATTGCTAGCCGTAAGAGGCAGTTAAGAGGAAACCCATGGGACTGGTGATAGAATGTGTTCTCCACCCTATTGCTAGCCGTAAGAGACAGTTAAGAGGAAACCCATGGGACCGGGGATAGAATGTGTCCCCTACACCCCATTGCTAGCCATAAGAGACAGTTAAGAGGAAACCCATGGGACTGGGTAGAATGTGTCCCCTACACCCCATTGCTAGCCATAAGAGACAGTTAAGAGGAAACCCATGGGACTGGGTAGAATGTGTCCCCTACACCCCATTGCTAGCCATAAGAGACAGTTAAGAGGAAACCCATGGGACTGGGTAGAATGTGTCCTCAACACCCCATTGCTAGTTGTAGGAGGCAGTTAAGAGGAAACCCATGGGACCAGGGATAGAATGTGTCCCCCATCCCATGGCTAGTTGTAAGAGGCAGTTAAGAGGAAACCCATGGGACCGGGGATAGAATGTGTCCCCTACACCCCATTGCTAGCCATAAGAGGCAGTTAAGAGGAAACCCATGGGACTGGTGATAGAATGTGTTCTCCACCCTATTGCTAGCCGTAAGAGACAGTTAAGAGGAAACCCATGGGACCGGGGATAGAATGTGTCCCCTACACCCCATTGCTAGCCATAAGAGACAGTTAAGAGGAAACCCATGGGACTGGGTAGAATGTGTCCCCTACACCCCATTGCTAGCCATAAGAGACAGTTAAGAGGAAACCCATGGGACTGGGTAGAATGTGTCCCCTACACCCCATTGCTAGCCATAAGAGACAGTTAAGAGGAAACCCATGGGACTGGGTAGAATGTGTCCTCAACACCCCATTGCTAGTTGTAGGAGGCAGTTAAGAGGAAACCCATGGGACCAGGGATAGAATGTGTCCCCCATCCCATGGCTAGTTGTAAGAGGCAGTTAAGAGGAAACCCATGAGACCAGGGTAGAATGTGTCCCCCACCCCATTGCTAGCCATAAGAGACAGTTAAGAGGAAACCCATGGGACTGGGTAGAATGTGTCCCCTACACCCCATTGCTAGCCATAAGAGACAGTTAAGAGGAAACCCATGGGACTGGGTAGAATGTGTCCTCAACACCCCATTGCTAGTTGTAGGAGGCAGTTAAGAGGAAACCCATGGGACCAGGGATAGAATGTGTCCCCCATCCCATGGCTAGTTGTAAGAGGCAGTTAAGAGGAAACCCATGGGACTGGGTAGAATGTGTCCCCTACACCCCATTGCTAGCCGTAAGAGGCAGTTAAGAGGAAACCCATGGGACTGGGTAGAATGTGTCCTCAACACCCCATTGCTAGTTGTAAGAGGCAGTTAAGAGGAAACCCATGGGACCAGGGTAGAATGTGTCCCCCACCCCATTGCTAGCCGTAAGAGGCAGTTAAGAGGAAACCCATGGGACCAGCATGCAAGAGTGAGGATAGATGTCCAAGATTATTGCACTTATAGAGTGCAACGTTAAACAACAAACAATCAAACTATCTCAGATTAAAGTTGGTGCATTTGCCACATTTGTATTCCAAATGCATTAGATATTGTGATGAGTAAGTATGTTGTATAACTCAGCCATCAACAATATTCCGGTATATATGACTGCGGCTTGTGAACAGTCTGTTCTGCACCAGGCAATCCAGTGACTGAAAGGATGAGCAATCCTCATGCAAGTCACAGAGTTTGATCCATTTTGGTCGACTCTCATATGACAAGCATATTTTTTTATGCATTTTATAAGTTTTCATGAGAACTAAAGAATATGTAATGGTCAGTCCTCCATGAAAACTGTTTTGTTTCCAGAGCTATACATTTCCGCAGCCATTGTTTGGTCTTGTGAGTGTGAAGATCAGTGGAGGCCAGTTTTATTTCCATGTACTGCAGTCCAGTCCGAGAAAACAGTGTTTCAAAGGTAACATTTTATGTATAAAATAAGGTGGTTGCACAGTGTCTAAGGGGCTGCTGCTGTGAAGAGTTGTCTGGATTAGCTGTGCCAGGATCTGCTGCTTAAGGGATCAGTGGTATTTCAGGGTAGTGCACATACGCCAGTGGTATACAGGGTAGGGCACATAAGCCAGTAGTGTGACAGGGTAGGGCACATACACCAGTGGTATACAGGGTAGGGCAGATATGCCAGTTGTATGTAGGGTAGGGCACATACACAAGTGGTATACAGGGTAGGGCAGATATGCCAGTTGTATGTAGGGTAGGGCACATACACAAGTGGTACACAGGGTAGGGCACATACGCCAGTAGTGTGACAGGGTAGGGCACATATGCCAGTTGTATGTAGGGTAGGGCACATACACAAGTGGTACACAGGGTAGGGCACATACACCAGTAGTGTGACAGGGTAGGGCACATAGGCCAGTAGTGTGACAGGGTAGGGCACATAGGCCAGTAGTGTGACAGGGTAGGGCACATACGCCAGTAGTGTTACAGGGTAGGGCACATATGCCAGTAGTGTGACAGGGTAGGGCACATTACATCAGGTGGCATTACATACAGTGATGTTTAACATGTTTTCTGCTCTTGAAATTAATGGTATACGTTATTGATTTCTTTGAAGAGGGTCAAGTTGTCGGGTACAAAGGAGTGTCGAAGGACCTGAAAGCCACAATACAAGGTGTCATCTTCGAGAGTTGTGCCCTTGACGCCAAGACCGTGGACATGGGACAGAAGGTGGGTGTTTGCTCGAGGTGCTCGAGGTATTAGGTATCGATGAATGTACATACAGGCTGAAACACTTCATAGCTGGTATGAAAACAAGTAAAAAGATCTCCTGAATGGTCGCTAGTCTCTATTAAAAGACCTATGATAGGTTGTCAAATAGCATTGTGGTAAGGTAGAGTTATTAACTAAATCATCATAAAATTATTTTCATGTCCATGCTGTCTGAGTGGGAACATAAGGGGTTAACCTCAATAAAACATATGTCCATGTCAAGTTCTCATTCTAATGTTTTTGTGTTTTGTTCCTTTCAGGATGACTATTTTGCTGGAGTATCAACAAACAGAAAAGAACTTTTAATTCACTACAATAAGAAATGTATCAAGTAAGCACTTTTTACCTTCTTTCAATGATATTTGTTTACAAGTTAACTGCTTTCAGAAGTATCCTTTCATAGATGTATGATGTTTCTTTGTTTGTTTATTTATGGTTTAACGCTGCACTCAGCAATATTCCAACTATATGACGACGGTCTGTAAATAATCAAGTCTGGACCAGACAATCCAGTGATCGACATCATGAGCATCGATCCACGCAATTGTGATACAATGACATTCATCAACCAAGTCAGCGAGCCTGACCACCCGATCCTGTTAGTCGCCTTTTACGACAAGCATAGTCGCCTTTTATGACAAGCATGGGTTGTTGAAGACCTATTCTACCCCGGATCTTCACAGGTTTCGAACACATTCGGTCATATCATATCCGTTATCACATTTTGCCTCATAGATGTGTGAGGGTGGTCGGGTAGCTTAGTGGTTAAAGCGTTAGCTCGTCATGTTGAAAATCCGGGTTTGATTCCCGACCTGGGTACAGTGTGTGAAGCCTATTGCTGGTGTCCCCTGTCACGATATTGCTGGAATATTGCTAAAAGCGGTGTAAAACCATATTTACTCACGTACTCATAGATGGATGATGTTAGCATATTCAGATGGGGTTGGTGTGTCTTTATTATGGCATACTAATGTGTCCGTTTCTGTGCAGGTTAATTTTATGATTCTATTCACTTTTATTGGACAAGTTTGTATGGGCTGTAATTTAACGTCTCTGTCTGCACTTTGGGGCGATGGGGTTGGCTAGTGGTTAAAGTATTTGCTTGTCACGTTGAAGACCTGGGTATGATTCCCCAAATTGGTACAATGTGAAACCCATTTCAGGCCTCAAAGTTGCAACTAAAATGGTCGCCAATTTCAATTTGTCTACTCTCTAAAATTCAGAGGTAGCCAAATGACTACCTTGAAAAATATCTTGTGGCGACTAAATTCTATTGCTACACATATGTAGACACAAAAATAAACATGTCTGCTACCAATTATCCTCTCAAATAATTCCTCCTAAAGTCCGAAAACCGAAATGCATAAATATTAATGTAATTAGTATTTTAGTTTAGTTGATAGTTCATTGGATAAGCAAGAATATACCTATATAATCTGGTAACATAAATTGCATCATTGTTCGAGTCACAAATAACAAAACTCAATTTCAGTTTCCACTAATATACAATTCCATATTGTACATATTATAATAGTTATTTGATAAAAGATAATTTCAAATGCTTTTGGCTACCTACACTATTGGCTTGACTTCTTGATTTTACCACTGGCTACCTGCAAAAAATACTTCTAGCCATATAGCTACTCTGTAAAAATTTAGACTTTAAGGCCTGTGTTTCTGGTGATCCTTGCCGTGACATTGCTGGAATATTGCTGAAAGCAACGTAAAACCACACTCTATCTGTCCTTGAGTATAGTGATGTTTGCCTTGTTTTGACAGATACAAGATGCAGTATGTTGAGATCACTTGTGTGTCAGCCCACCCCACAGAACTGTCCCTGGCTACTGGCTGCTCCGATGGCAAGATATACTACTGGTATGTTGCCCCCCGATCATGACCATGATAACCGATGATGAGTGTCCTTAATGTGAAGGTGCTGGTGACATTGGTTGCACTCACTCATTCTTACACTTTTGCTCGACTCACACTCACTCACTCACTCACTCACTCACTCACTCACTCACTCACACCATGCTTCTATCAATTCCATGTCAACTCCAATACCAGTGACATATCTGGAATACTGGTGACATTGGTCACACTCACTCATTCTTACACTTTTGCTCACTCACTCACTCACTCACTCACTCACTCACACCATGCTTCTATCAATTCCATGTCAACTCCAATACCAGTGACATATCTGGAATACTGGTGACATTGGTCACACTCACTCATTCTTACACTTTTGCTGACTCACTCACTCACTCACTCACTCACTCACACCATGCTTCTATCAATTCCATGTCAACTCCAATACCAGTGACATATCTGGAATACTGGTGACATTGGTCACACTCACTCATTCTTACACTTTTGCTCACTCACTCACTCACTCACTCACTCACTCACTCACTCACTCACACCATGCTTCTATCAATTCCATGTCAACTCCAATACCAGTGACATATCTGGAATACTGGTGACATTGGTTGCACTCACTCATTCTTACACTTTTGCTCACTCACTCACTCACTCACTCACTCACTCACACCATGCTTCTATCAATTCCATGTCAACTCCAATACCAGTGACATATCTGGAATACTGGTGACATTGGTTGCACTCACTCATTCTTACACTTTTGCTCACTCACTCACTCACTCACTCACTCACTCACTCACTCACTCACACCATGCTTCTATCAATTCCATGTCAACTCCAATACCAGTGACATATCTGGAATACTTGGATGGTGTGACCCTCCTGTCGGTGTTGTTGCAGGTACAGTTTCACCAATGAGAGGCAGATGGTGAAGTCTGTCTACCACTGGCATGCCCTGGCTGTTCTGGACCTCACATTCTCACCTGAAGGTAATGGACGCTGGGAAGAACACTAAGATGAGGATGAGTGAAAACTGAAGATTCGCGTTTGGGGACTGAACTTTACTAGACGGGGAATACATGAAGGGAGTGATCTGGGATTAGAGACTAAGTTTCCTTGACAGCCAATTGGGGAAAAGAGAGAAAAATTTGTACTCGTCCCAGCCCTAGTTTTATTCATGTTATTCTTAAAATGTCAGTAAACTATGCATTGAATAACCTTCTCGAAATCTGTCCTAAACAGATTACCTTCCCTTGTGAATGACAGCTCAAAATCCCCCCTCAAATGTTTGGAACTGATTCCGTTCATTCACCTGGAACAGATATTCCGTAATTCCTCCTCGTTCGTTGGTTGTTCTCTGTGTATTTGTCTGATGAGTGGAGACACAACTTTGTATTTGTATCAGGCTCCTTCTTGCTGAGTGGAGGCCACGAGTGCACACTGGTCAAGTGGCAGTACGAGACTCACTACAAGGACTTCAAGCCCCGGCTGGGATCCCCCATCACCCACGTCACATGTGCCCCTGACAACCTCCTGTACGCTGTGTCACATCAGGATAATGGTATGTGTGTGTGTCTCTCTCTCTCTCTCTTCCTCCTCCTACTCCTCCTCCTCTCTCTCTCTCTCTCTCCTCTCTCTCTCTTCCTTCTCTCTCTCTTCCTTCTCTATCTCTCTCTCTTCCTTCTCTCTCTCTCTCTCTCTTCCTCCTCCTCTCTCTCTCTCTGTGTGTGAGACTGTGTGTGTGTGTTGGGGGGAGAAGGGTGCGTCTGTGATTCCTTTTCTGCGTCTGTGTATGTGTGCATCTCTCTGTGTGTGTCCTGTGTCTGTCAGATGTGTGTGCTTGTGGGTCTTTGTGTGTTTCTGCATCTGCGGGGGCATCAGATACATTTGTGATGAAGCTGTGTGACAAATTATCAGATTAAAGTCATTTCAGCTGTGTTGCGTTAACTGTGAACAGACTTTCTTGCACCAAAGTTGAATACATCTAAAAAGATGTATGGGAGCAAGGTAGTGACTCCAGGTGTGACCAGCTTTACTTTCAAGTCACAACATGTCAGTATTGTTGCCATACATCCCCCATGCACCCACCCAACATCATCTGACTGCCTCAAACCTGTGGTTATACCGGGTGAGAACATAGGTCTTCAGCAACCCATGCTTGTCGTAAGAGGCGACTAAATGGATCAGATGGTCAGGCTCGCTGACTTGGTTATCCCTAAAGGGTAATCGAAGAGAGTAGCCAAGACCATCACTGAGACACCTCCACTAAAGCCTTATATGACCAATCATATAGCTGGAATGTTGCTGAGTGTGGTGTTAAACAACAAACATAGCTCACTATCCGACTGTTTCCCAGGTATCCATCTGTTGAGGAACACCCTGGATATCTGCCAGATCTACCAGGGGCTCACCAAGACAAGCTTCTCCCACGGAAACCCTGTTGGCCTGCTCTGTGACCCCAGGTCCAGGGCTCTAGTGACCAATGGAAGACCAGGACACTTACAGTTCTACTGTCTCCATAACGACAGGCAACTGTTTAACGTGAGTTGAATGGATGTTAGGATAATATGATGTTATTAGCTCAACTGATATATGAGATGCTACTGCTAATATGATATTTGGTCTGTCAGCCTGTTTGCTAAGATCATTTGGTCCACTCACTGAGCTAGCCGAATTTGTTGTTTAGAGTTATGTCCCCTATTTATGCTAGGATATGCTGATCAAGGGTTTAGATCCAAGGCATATTTTGATTATTACCATCACTACAAGTGTGCTTGTGGGTTTCATAAAAGTGGAATATGACTCCATCACTTCAGTCTCTCCTCCCATATTGTAGCTGAACATGCATGACATCATAAAAGCCAACTCACCGTGCTCTTTTGGCCCGTGGAGATCGTGGGTAGAATAGGTCTTCAGCAACCCATGCTTGCCATGAAAGGCGACTATGCTTGTCATAAGAGGCAACTAACGGGATGGGTGATCAGGCTCGCTGACTTGGTTGATGCATGTCATTGTATCCCAATTGTGTGGAATGATGTTCATGATATCAATCACTGGATCATCTGGTCCAGACTCAATTATTTACAGACCGTTGTTGTGTAGCTAGAATATTGCTGAGTGCTGCGTTAAACGAGAAACAAAACATACAAACCTTGCGACTATGCTTGTCGTAAAAGGCGACTAACGGGATCGTGTGGTCAGGCCACTGACTTGGTTGATGCATGTCATTGTATCCCAAATGCAAATATCCATGCTCATGATGCCAGTCACTGGATTGTCTGGTCCAGACTCGCTTACTTACAGACCGCCGTCATATACCTGGAATATTGTTGAGTGGAGCGTTAAACAACAAACAAACAAACACCATGCTTTTATGTTTCAGCTTGATATTGTTCGTCAAAATTACATCTCCTCGGAGAATCTGGAGCAGCCTCTGACAGTCACCCAGATCACGAAGGCCGCAATAGACGAGCGTGGTGACTGGCTGGCCACTTATGAACTGTGGGATGACGGGGAGATGTCGCCCGAGATGCAGCTCAAGTTCTGGCATTATGATGAGAAGAAGCAGAGGTGGGCACCACATTCACTTGGTGTAGATGTGTTTGTGTTAAAGTGAACCGCCTCCGTGGTCTAGTGGTAGAGCGTCCGCCCGGAGAGCGGAAGGTCCGGAGTTCGATCCCCAGCCGCTTCATACCAAAAGACGTTAAAAGATGGTACTTGTTGTTACCCTGTCTGGCGCTCGGCATTAAGGGACTAAAACAAGGACTGGTTGGCTCGGAGTCAGTCTACACTGTGTCTGAGTGGGGTATTCATGTTAAACTGTGGCATGGTATCTCAGTGAGCTAGCACTATAAATCGGCATCAGTTCGGAGTAGTACAAGCAGCCACACACACACACACACACACACACACACATGTGCATGCACGTCGCTATATAAGTGCAATAATGTTGGACGCGACGTCAAACCCCATTTCACCTCACCTTGTGTTAAAGAGGAAGTGAATTCAACATAGCAACTTTGAGAACACTTATGGGGATACCTAATCACAAATGGTTGACGGAAATTAAATTTGAAAAAGGGAAATACCGTAAAACGGACGATAAAAAACGACAAGCAAAGTCGTTCCCCAAACAAAACATTCAGACAAGAATCAGTATTCCATTGGCACCACCGTAATATAGCTGGAATATTGCTGAGTGCGGCGTTAAACAACAAACAACAACCAAGTCAGCAAGTCTTACCACCCGATCCCCTTGGTTATCACTTTAGGCACTGAATCAATAGTTTTAGTGTGCATCCGTTACGTCATCTTACATAGGCCTTAGCATAGATATCCTGTCACAGATCTAGACACACAGTCAAAATTTATCTGATGATACACAACAATTCTGTATTTATGCTGGGGAGTTCACAGGGGTTTCCCTAAGAAGGTGGAAGTAGTTTGTCAGTGTTTACGTCATTCTAGAATACAGTCTCCTGAAATATGTATGAAATGTTTAATACATAGACATGTGTGCATCGGTTTTATGGTCATGTGATTGGCCTCTCATCCAATAGGAAATCCATATATCATGACAGATCATATATACTTTAGAATCAATTTTGTTTCATCATACACAAGATATACACAATTTGCTTCATTTCAGGGGCGGTGGTGTAGCTTAGTGGTTAAAGCATTCAGTCGTTACGCTGAAGACCCGGGTTTGATTCCCCACATGGGTACAATGTGTGAAGCCCATTTCTGGTGTCCCCTGCCGTGATATTGCTGGAATATTGCTAAAAGCGGCGTAAAACCATACTCACTCACTGTACACAGCGAATCGCTGCGTCATAGACGACGTTTGTTTCATTTTTTGTTACATTGTGCGTGAGCTTCATCAAGTGACGACCGCCTCCGTGGTCTAGGGGTAGAACATCTGCCTGGAGAGCTGAAGGTCCTGGGTTTGATCCTCGGCCGCGTCATACCAAAAGACGTTAAAAGATGGTACTTGTTGTTACCCTGTCTGGCGCTAGGCATAATTGGGCTAAAATCAGGACTGGTCGGCTCGGATTTAGTATACTGTGTCTGAGTGGGGTATTGATGTTGTCTCAGTGAGCTCGCACTATAAACCCCACGTTGATCAAGTGACATTGTTGTTCATGTACTTTATTTCTGGTATTTGTTGTCAGCTACGAGATGAACACGGTCGTGGACCGACCCCACGATAAGGCGCTCTGCTCCCTGACATTCCGCCCCTATAACTCCTCCATCAGGTCTATGCTGCCACTAGTCGTGTCCGGGGGACAAGACTGCAGGTTCAAACTGTGGACGCTTGTGGACGACACCGATATCTACAGTAGGTTCAGTCCAGCATCTAAACATAGAGTGACATTCAGCCTTCAACAAATATTACAGATGATACCAAAATATAATTTCTCTTGATATAAATATTTCTACTATTAATTTTTTTGTTACTTCCTGTGACGACCTTTCCCAAATCTCTGAGCTGGTTGCATGGATTGAAGAAGTGGCAAGATTTACTGAAATCACCACTGGTATTTAACCTAGAAATGAATCCAAATACTCATCTAAACCCTGCATCACTTCTTTATTCCCCCCCCCCCCCCCCCCCCCCCCCACACACACACACACACACACACACATTAAGCTGACACATCGTGATATAGCTGGAACAGAGTCCAAAGTGGCTTTAGACCCAACTCACTCACTCACTCACTCACGGAATAAATATAACAAAAATATCCTATATTTGTGAAAGGGTTCAACAGCAAGTGGACGTGTGACTCGGTCGGCTTCTACCGTGAGATGGATACCGGAGCGACAGCATTCGCAGAAGATGGATCCCTCCTGGCCGTGGTGTTCGGCTCCACCATCACACTGTGGGACCCGGATACTAACGTCCTCAGGACTACTTTCAGTAGCAGCTTTGACAAGAAGAATGTCAGGTGGGAGAAGATTGTTTTCTTTAAAACAATGTGTTAATTGTCTATTGATTTGTATAATTTTTAGAATTTAATGCTACATTTCAGGTCTGCAGTACATGAAAAGGCCCTACTCTGTGTTATTTTTTAATTTTTTTAGCTTTCTATGTTATTTTTGATAAAATATTCAAAATGAATGATGACAGTCATCATGAATACTCACTATTCAAAAGAAGTTTAAGATCACACACAATTGAATGGCCCTGTGATGCAACATCCATCAGCCATGACAGTAGTCATATAAAACATTGGGTGTTCTTTAAATTCTTTATTAGCTGTGTACATAAATTTTTTTGTCTTTCTTTGGATGAGTTTTTGCTTCTTTGTCAACCAAAAAGGTAGACATGTGTAAAAACAGGTCTTGAATTCCAACATGGAGTCGGAACACCATGAGGTCACCTGACTGTTTCATATCTGAATTCTTGAAAGTCGTTGTGAGCAGCTGTTAAACACAACAGATCGGTTGTTTCAGTTCGGTTGATTTTATAAGACATTGACTGATAGTCATCCAAAATGTCCTAAAGGTATATTTCAAATTCGGTATTATAGTGATTGAGTGGGTGGATGAGTGAGTGAGTGAGTATATGAGTGAGTGTGTATGGCTTTACGTTGCTTTTAGCCCTTATCTCAGGTCAACTTATCCTAACTAACACGGGATTACAATGCATGATCAATTTGCTTGGGTGGTGATCATGGTGATGCTGGGATGTGTTCGGGTGAATTGTTTTTTGAAAGCTGGAAACTTTGTTCAAGCATGATTCCACATAAGGATCGAAAGATGAAGGAAGAAATGCATAGTGTGAGATAGGATAAGTAATTTCAAGTAAAACTGACAATACCGCAGCAATATAATGACAGGGACTCCAGAAATGGGCATCATACATCGTACCCATACCGGAAATCAAACCCGGGTCTTAAGCATGAAGAGCGAATGGTTAAACCATTAGTCTACCCCAACTCCCCTGGTAATAGAGAAGAATTTGCCATCAAAAGATAAAATTATGAAATGTCCTCATGCCATTTGTCTCCAACAAAATGGCCGTGTACATGGTTAGAACCAGGGTGTAGACTAGGTGTCCAGCATGATGTTGGTTGCAGCCATCTTCCCGAGGCAAGGGAGTTAACTGATCATATAAGTCAAGTTTCCACCCTTGCCAAACTAGGCTGGAATTATGGAGTTATGTTTTGGCTGGATTAATGAGTTTATGCATAGTCCAATCAAAATCGCGGAACGAAATTGTAAACTGCCAGGCAGATTTCGGTTGATTGCAGGATTTGCAAAGCATGTGTACAGTAAACTTGCCATCATCTGACATTTTTCTGATCATTTCATGTTTTGAATCAAGGTGCTTACGTGATTTGATGCTCTTTGCAAAGTGAGACCTGTTTTATTACAATATAGATCTTGATAATCGATCAGATCGTCTTCACTGGGCGCTACCATTTTGTTTGCAACAAATGCAAATGTTATGAAAGATATCTGATTGGTCAATAGGAGTGACATGGAAGGTATATAATTCGTAATAGCCACTTGTAGCGCTGCCATCGAGCCCAGAAATTTCAGCCTAGTTTGGCAAGGATGGAAACTGGACTTACATAGACAGTATTGCCCTTGCCTCAGGAAGATGGTTGCAGTGAGAGACGGCTAAACTGGATCAGGTGGTCAGGCTCTGTGACTTGGAAGGCTGCCTATTGTATCAACCATTGGTTTACCTTGCGGTGATTCGATTAGTTACAGATCGCCGCGATATAGCTTGAATATTGTGAACTGTGGCATAACAACAACCATACAAATCAGATGGCTTCCTGCTTGGTCTTCATGAATTGTGGTCCCAACCATTGTTTTCACCATGTCGTGGAAGGAGTTTTGCGAAGAATGGACATTGGTGTTTTGGACAACAGTTGAACAGAGAATGTAGTTCCCCTGTTCCCAATGCTTGTCTCTTGAACTGACTAATGACAGTTACAATATGTGGTCTGCGTGATTTTTGTCCTGAGAGCATACCCGTGAAGACCCGGGGTAGAATAGGTCTTTAGCAACCCATGCTTGCCGTATAAGGCAACTATGCTTGTCGTAAGAGGCGACTAACGGGATCGGGTGGTCAGAGTTGTTCTTCAACAACCCATGTTGTCGGACACGCTGACTTGGTTGATGCATGTCATCGATCCCAATTGCATGGATTCATGCTCATGACATCAATCACTTGATTGTCTGGTCCAGACTCGATTATTTACAGACCGCTGTCTTATAGCTGGAATATTGCTGAGTGCGGCGGTAAACAACAAACAAACAAACAAACCTGATAGCATGCATCAATGCTCATGGTATCAACCACTGGTTTGCCTGACCCAGACCCAGGCCACTATATGACTGGAATATTGCTAACTGTCAGGCAATACACATGATACATCATTAACTCTAAAGCGTGCATCAATTTGCTCATGCTGTCAACCACTGTTTGCTGTTTGCTAAGTAAGTGGTGTTTCAATCAATGCTGTTGTGTTTCAGGCAGGTGTTGTTTGGCCGCAAGTCCTGCTGTCACCTGCTGGTCGCCACCACGGCATGGCAGCTCACAGTGTGGAACCTTCTCACATGCTCAGGTAAGAGACAGTTGGAGGTGGAATTATTTTATTTTTTAAGTGTAGGATAAAAGACGTCACAGGGTTTTTATGAGATTTAAAACCCGAATCTAAGGGATAGAACCAGGCCCCGATGTTTTATGCCAAGGATGAGGCTTTTACATCTCATAAAAACCCGAGGGTAAGTGTTTTATCTTATAAACCAATAAAAGATACTTAAAAGAACATTTGTCAACATGATTATGTTTCAAACATACTTTCCATGAACCTTAGGAAACGGCATAAAATATCTGTTTCTGGCATACAGTTGCTTGAAAAGACATTCTCAAAAGCACTGTGATTTATTATCACCTCTGTAGCCTAGGGGTACACTCACTGGGCTACAGATCCCAAGGTTGCATGTTCGAAATATTATATAAAATCATGGCGATATTATAACACATTAAAGGGGCACGGGTGGCCCAGTCGTCTAAGGCCCCACAATTCGCTGTGTAGAGTTGCATCCCTTGGGCACGCCAGAAACCTATGATGGTTGGTTTGAATCCCGGTTCGCCCGGATTATGTTTCTCGGTTTGTCAGCACCATACCCATGCTCGTGGGTTTCACCGAAGTGGTAAACGTCTAAGACCTGCATCACTTCGGGCTTTCCTCCCACATTAAGCTGACACGCCGCGATATAACTGGAATACTGTTAAAAGCAGCGTTAAACCCAACTCACTCACTCACTCACTCACTCACTCACTCACTCACTCACTCACTCACTCACTCACTCACATTATGCCCAGTGATATTATGACATTTAACTCCACTGGAGAACAATAGGATGATGTCATTGGAGGCTTATAATGTAAATAATGTGGTTTGAAAGGTCTTGTGCTTTCAGTTGTTGGCTTGTTTTCCCATTTACTGTATACCATTTGTTAAAAGTTGGCCTCTATCAGAATCTCTGGGTAAGATTTTGAAATGAAAGCAAGGCTTTTTATAAAGGCCAGGTCGGCCACAACTAATGACTACTACCTCATACATTTGAATACAACTAATGGTTTCTCCCTAACATCTCTGCATACAGGCAGTGACTTCTTCCCATCACGTTTACCTACAGCTAATGACTTCTCCCCATCACATGAGGTACACTGAATAAACAAGAGCGGACTAAATCAGCTGTTGAATGAACCTAGTCACAGTACTGCTGTGTAGCGCTAACTTGAGTGATGTTCTGTTCTTTGTTTCAGTCCAGTGGAGTGTGTCTATAGGGGCGGTGGTGCTGGTTGACGACCCACTGACCAAGTATATGTCTGTGTTTACACACACTGGGGATCGTAAGTATCACACCTTGATGGTAGCAGTGTTTGAAACAGATGCTGGTCCGTTGATGCAAATCTCGTAAATTTTCTGAAGAACTTCTGGAATGAATTAATTGATGGCCTGACCCATGAAGATCCGGGGTAGTATAGGTCCTCAGCAACCTATCCTAGCCGTGAAAGGCGACTAACGGGATCGGATGGTCAGGCTCACTGACTTGGTTGATGCATCTCATCGTATTCCAGTATCAAGACTTGTTACTCATGATGTGAATCACTGGATTGTCTGGTCCTGACTTGATTATTTACAGACCGCCATCATATAGCTGGAATATTGCTGAGTGCGGAGAGAAACAAACAAAAGAAACAAATTGATGGCCTGGCTGTTTATTAGGGGCACTGTTGTTTCTCTGTCGGAGGGGAAACAGACAAAGCTTCAAAATGTAATCATCAACCTCGCATTGATGCTGTCCATTCTACATTGATTATGAACACTTTTGGGACAGATCTAGACTGTCTGGCCCAGACTCAATTATTTACATGAATATGTCACATAAATATACTACTCAAAAGAAATTAAGGATCACCTGATTCTTTCATATAACAATAGTTAATGTCTCATGCCATGACAGATTAACTTTACCAATATGAAAGAATCGGGTGATCCTTAACTTCTTTTGAGTAGTATATATCCCTAAAATGGCTCATTTCTATGACCCAATTCACTTTGGGTTTTCATGTACTTGAAGCAGATATGTTGTGATATGATTGAAATATTGTTTAAAGTGGGCGTGAAAAGAACCCACTCCTTAACTCAAATGGCAGTCTCAGAGTCATTCAATTTTCTCTTCCTAGTTCATGTGTTCGAGCCAGCCAATTCCCAGCCGGTCTTCACTCAGACTCAGGTTTCAAAGAACGACGTTGTCAGTGCTGTTTTTATACCTCACAAAGAGGAAAGTCCATTCAGTGCCAAGGGGAGACTACTATGGCAGAGACAATCACAGCTGTACTTCATGACAAAAGAGCAAGATCTCCTTACAGTGCAGTATGACGCCACTGAGAACAGCACTGATGGGTATATAAAAAAGGTAGGCTGCAACAGGCACAGTTTTGAGTTTGTGCACATAATTGGGATCGCAATATAAGTGTTACTATTCCAAAGATCAGATTAATCTTCTTATTGTAAATAAACTCACCCTAAATTTTTAGACAAGTACAAAAAAAATTAAAGTTGAATATATGCATTGTCAGCATTACTGTGTTAACATTTACTTCATATTACCGTATTTGACGCAATAAGCGCCCCGCTCTAATAAGCGCCCACGGCAATATTTGCTAATATATTGGCTAGTGAACAATCCCAATTAGCACCCCTTCTGATTGATCAATGTACACAAGACTTATTTATTCGCGTATAATACGCACTCGTGTGTTACATGCACCCTTAATTATGGGCAATTAAATTCTGGAAAAATGTATCTGTCATATATAAACATTTCAGTGTGTCAGCATAAACCACGAAATTTATATTTCAACTCTGTTTTTTTTCACCAAAATAATATTCTAATAAGAGTCCCCTATTTTTAATTTGAGAGCGCCCTGGGCGCTTATTACGTTGAATACGGTATTTAAGAAGTTAACCACAACAGGTTTATCTAGACTGATATTCCTGCTTTGAAATAAAGAATGACCCTAATAGCACGACCAACATGAAAACAGCATTATCACTATCCCTGCCGTGGGACATATTTGAATTTTGTTTGTTCATATAGTAGTGAATAATAGGAAGTTAATGGTGAAAAGTATGGAGTAAGGGCCTCAACTCAGTAAGAATGATATTTATGAAATTGTGAACTCTGCCTTGGTAAGTATCTCTTAAATAACCTTGCAAAGTTTCATTCATGTAACTTTGGTAGTTTCTGAGAAAACGTGTCCCCATTGCAGACATGATGCACCAAGTAAAACAAGGAAACACATTTTTTTTTAAAATACCAAGACATCAAAAGGCAGAAGTTCAGCATGTGTTTGATACATAGACAAAGTTTCATAATAAAATATTAAACCGTTTCCAAGTTATGCTTTGGAAACAAAACATGAGGGATCGACGGACGGCTTCCTAGCATAGAATGATAAGGAGATAGAGGCTTAACTGCTTTGTTCTGCTTTAAAAGATTGCATGCTGTGTTAAAATATCTCTGAATTAAAGAAAATAAGAATATAAAAATCATAATTTTTCAAAAACTATGCCTGCCAAGGGAATTTGTTTGGTATTCTAGAGACTCCCTGCACAAATATATTTTTAGGTCAACATTTTATGTTTGGGGTATCATATACAAGGTGATATTGTTAGTAACCTGTAGGGTCTCCAGCAACCGGTCGTAAAAAGCGACTATGCTTGTCATAAAAGGCAACTATGCTTGTCATAAAAGGCAACTATGCTTGTCATAAAAGGCAACTATGCTTGTCATGAAAGGTGACTATGCTTGTCGCAAAAGGCAACTATGCTTGTTGAAAAAGGCGACTATGCTTGTTGTAAAAGGCGACTATGCTTGTCATAAAAGGCGACTATGCTTGTCGTAAGAGGTGACTATACTTGTTGTAAAAGGCGACTATGCTTGTCGTAAGAGGCAACTATGCTTGTCGTAAGAGGCGAATATGCTTGTCGCAAAAGGCGACTATGCTTGTTGTAAGAGGTTACTATGCTTCTCGTAAAAAGCTACTATGCTTCTCATAAAAGGCGACTGTGCTTGTCGTAAAAGGTTACTATGCTTCTCGTAAAAGGCGACTGTGCTTGTCGTAAGAGGTGACTAAGTGGATGAGATGGTCAGGCTCAGTGATTTGGTTGATGTATATCATCGTTTCCCAATTGCAAGGACATGACATCAATCACTGGTCATGTAGCTGGAATACTGCTGAGTGTAGCATTAAACAACAAATAAGACGAGGTCATTTTGTAAGTGTTTCTTGTGGTTTTCAGACCCCAATAAAACAGAACCTGCCCCAGTCAGCTCTCAGCCTGCTCATGTCCAAACACAGGAAGTCTGGCGCCAAGGATCGGAAACATGAGCACATCGACATGTCTGTGGGCATCAAGGAGACACAGTTCATTCAACAGGTATTTGACAGTCATAGACTCATATAGCCTTGACTCTTAAGTCTGCAGTCATACCACTCACCATGCATACCACAGGGTTCAAATACCACAGGGTTCAAATACCACCAGGTTCAAATACCACAGGGTTCAAATGCCACAGGGTTCAAATACCACCAGGTTCAAATATCACAGGGTTCAAATACCACAGGGTTCAAATATCACAGGGTTCAAATACCACAGCGTTCAAATACCATAAGGTTCATCTTGGTTTTAAAAAATTGAATTTAGATTCTGTCATCGCAAACCTTGAAGAGTGATATTGTGGTTTGATAACCTTCTCTTTTTTAATTCCTTTCTTGAGGACATTACCTAAAATATATCTTGTCATTGTTTGAAATAGGTTAGAAAGACCTATGTCAATTCTATGAATATACAATGCCTTTTAGAGAGTGGTCAACATGTGGAAGCCTCATCAGTGGCTGAGTGTGTTAGATTGCTGACTTTGTGTGCTGGCGATTAGGTGCCTCACTTTGAGAGTGTAGGTTGAAATCCCTAATGGACCTCATCCCCAAAAGTACTAGAATTTGTACTTTAGTAAGAAAGTGTAGTCCCAAAATATAACATTTGTTCCATCAGTTCTATTTTTCTAGGGGCGGTCGGGTAGCCTAATGGTTAAAGCATTCGCTGGTCATGCCGAAGACCCGGGTTCGATTCCCAACATGGGTACAATGTGTGAAGCCCATTTCTGGTGTCCCCCGCCGTGATATTGCTGGAATATTGCTAAAACAGCGTAAAACCATACTCACTCACTCACTCACTCTATTTTTCTAAGTTTCTGAAGTTATGCTTAAGAAAATACTTTTACTTGTTTGACTTGTTCCACAATTATGAATTTTTAATCAGCATACTTGTAAATGAATCAATTGAAATAAAAATGGGGTTTGGGCCTGTGTTTCCCTCCACTCTAGATGTGCAGTATGTCAGCAACTGCCCAGCCTCCACTACCAGACTTCTGCCAGGCGTTCCTGGAGACCCGGCTGTCTAAAGGAACCGCACCCAGGTCAGTGTAATCAGTAAATAGAGATGGCGTAAAGAGATTTTGAGCCTAAAATTACGCTATTACGCTTGTCCACTCCAAATTATGATTTTTGATATTTCTCACACCAATTACTTAAATGCATGAAATATCATGGCAATCAAATTGTTAATGCACCAGTCTCGGGACGGATTCTACAAGGAACTTATTGCATGTTCACCGGTTTTTCTTTCGAGTACTTTTTCTATATTGATGTCCAATGTTTTTTATGTTTATTAATTGCTTTCATATTCAATTTCGAGGTTTATTCATATTAAACCATTCAAACGCAAGCAGAGTAATTTCTATAAGATGTTAACTCTTTGAAGCGAAAACCGTAAATTACGCCTTTTTACCCCACTGGTTACTCCAAAGCTTCAATTATTTCTGCCGTGAACATGTTAATTTGTAGTCAGTGTTGATAATCACAGGGGCTCAATTGGTTTGTCTGATTCACTGTGCAGAGTTGTGTCCCTCAGTTGCATCAGGATCCGATAATTATGGGTTTGACTCTCTGCAGTGCTTGATTACGCATTTTTTCTTCTCACCTCCATACCCATGTTTGTGAATTGTAAGCTTCACCAAAACGTAAATGACCTGCTCTCTTTCCACATTAAGCTGTTGGATATACAAGATGTATTTAATTTATAGTCTAATATTATTTATATATTTCTTTTTTTCTAATGGGAATGGCTTTGGAAATGGTAATTAAAGTTGAAAGTATCCCTGTCCAGAGGACCTTTAGTGACAAGTTTACAAGTACACTGACCTTTGCCAAAGTTTGTTTTCTCCCACTCCCTTCAGGATGGAAGATATGCAAAGATTGCAGTGTTTACTAAGCTGGAAGACCCGTGAAGATTCCGGGGTGGAATAGGTCTTCAGCAACCCATACTTGCCGTAAAAGGCGACTATGCTTGTCGTAAAAGGCGACTAACGGGATCGGATGGTCAGGCTTGCTGACTTGGTTGATACATGTCATCGATCCCAATTGCGTAGATCGATGCTCATGATATTAATCACTGGATTGTCTGGTCCAGACTCGATTATTTACAGACCGCCATCATATAGCTGGAATATTGCTGAGTGCGGCGTTAAACAACAAACAACAACAACTATGCTGAAAACCTTAAAAAGGCATATGCATGATACTCTAGACACATGGTCCTTGGTCCTTTTTCAAATTTGTCTTCAGCAACCTTTACTGGTTGTTATAGTAGCAATAATTGGATTGTCTTGGTCCAGACTCGATTATTTACAGACCGCCATCATACAGCTGGAATAATGCTGAGTGCGGTGTTAAACAACAAAAAGCAAACAAAAGCAACAAATTTATGGCCTGGCTCTATTGGGGGGCATTGTTGATTATTTGTCTGATTTGAAACAGACATGTGACAAAGCTTCAAAGTATAATCAGCAACCTTGCACAGATGCTGCGTGTCCCCTGTCAGGATGTGTGCTGGCATCATTTCCCTCCTTGGCATCTGTGTGGGGTATCCATGTTAAACTGTGGCATGGTATCTCAGCCCACACCCACACCCACACCCACACCCACATCCACACAGTCAAGTCAAGTCAAGTCAAAATTAGTTTATTTGTGTGTAGACCTTTGGCCCATATACAAGAAATGCAGTGCCAATAATACAATGTGAAGCACATTACATAGATTTTATGACTTTATGTCTTTGTTTATACGCATAATATACAAAATATTGCAGACGTTTTAATAACTCATCCTGAGGTGTACACAATAATTTTTTGAATTTATATATAGTTGGAAACTTTCAATACAATTCTGGCAAATAAACTTTACACAGCTCAGTATAGTGTTTACAGATCAGTCAGTCAGTCAGTCAGGAATCAGGAGTTATCCAACAAGGCAATGTATTTGTCGGGAAATGATACACTTGTGGGTGCCGTTGTACAAAGCGATCTTAGCGCTAAGGTGATCGTAACGCCAATACCTTAACATAGACTTACCACAGTCGTAGCTCTATGGTTGTTTTGTACAACGGCACCCTGGTCTCTAGTTATTTCGTGACTTGTCATCTGTGTTATTATAAATGATGTTTGTCTGTTCAAGGGCTGAAGCGATGGTCATAGATGACGAAGATGATGATATTGATGATATTGACAGTGGACTACAGTTGAACATTAATGCTGATTCAGACTCGGACATGGAGGTCACAGAAAGGTCAAGGCCACCTTCCAGAAAAAAGGAATCTAGTGAAAATTTATCACATTCAGATGTGGACACGAAAAAATTGGATCTTGCTTTGGGTAAAGAATACCGATGGTTTGAAAGTTTAGTCAAGCCATGAAGAATATGAACATACAATATATGGAGATATGAGAGTAAATATATGAATAAATATTGTTGGTCTATCATTTGAGGGTGAGTGGGTGACCCAGTCGTCAAAGGCACCGCAATTTGCTGTGCACAGTTGCGCCCCTAGGGCACGCTAGAAACCTAGGATTGTGGGCTGAAATTCCGGTTCACCCCGATGATGTTTCTAGACTTGTCAGCACTATACCTGTGCTAGTGGATTTCTAGAAAATGGTAAGCATCAGACATACATAAAACATTTAAGTTCTGCCTTACATTGCATGTCCGGTGGCCAAGTTGTCTAAGGCGCCGCGATTCACTGTGCAGAGTTACGTTCCTTGGGCACATCAGAAACTAATGATTGTGGGTTCGAATCCTGATTCGCCCCAATTATGTTTCTAGGTTTGCCAGCACCACACCCATGCTCGAGGGTTTCACCGAAGTTGTAAACGTCTGAGACCTGCATCACTTCGGGCTTTCCTCCCTCATTAAGCTGACACGTCGTGATATAACTGGAATAATGTTAAAAGCAGCGTTAAACCCAACTCACTCAGTCATTGCATGTCCCCACAAATTATACTGACAAAACTATTTAAAGTGTAGCTGCTCAAAGAAACCTGGATAATTTTATGTCCTTGAAAAGGAAGGATTGCTTTTGTTTGATTCTATAAGGACGTTAGATCAATGTATTAATGTTGTCATCAAACGTAAGAGGCAACTAACGGTATCATGTTGTCAGGCACGCTGACTTAATTGATGTATGTTATCATATCCTTATTGTGTAAATTGATGCTCATGATGTCAATCAGGGGGCACGGGTGGCCCAGTCGTCTAAGGCACCGCAATTCCCTATGTAGAGTTGCGTCCCTTGGACACGCCAGAAACCTATGATTGTGGGTTCGAATCCGGGTTCGCCCCAATTATGTTTCTAGGTTTGTCAGCATCATACCCGTGCTCGTGGGTTTCACCGAAGTTGTAAACGTCTGAGACCTGCATCACTTGAGGCTTTCCTCCCCCATTAAGCTGACACGCCACGATATTACTGGAATAATGATAAAAAAAACTGTTAAACCCAACTCACTCACTCACTCATGATGTCAATCACTGGATTGTCTGGTCCAGACTTCATTATTTACAGAGCACGGTCACTTAGCTGGAATATTGCTGAGTGCGTCGTTAAATTTCCTGATGACTCTTATCTTACTGTTGATCCTTCAGATTACTGAAAAGTTCTTGCCATTGTGAAAAACCCGGGTTAGTATTCAGTGGCAGGATAGGTTCCCAGAACACCATGCAGATTCAGGGCACAATCTCCTGGGGGTGTTGTGCAAGCTGGTAGCGACCAGAGATTTGCCTCACCCAACACTTATCAACAGGCCACTGTGTCTGTATCATGGCTGATTGCTTGGCATACCACCATTCATACACTAAAAGTACAGGGATAACACTTCGGTGGGTGGTCAGTAGGGCTGGGACGGGTACTCGGGTGGGTGGGTACTGAGTAGGACCTGGGTACCCACAGGACTCCCCGGACCCTTGGTTAGTCATGTGATATATTGTTTTGATGATTAAACATTTCTAGAACCCTGGTTACATTACAAGTCACTTATGTTCGCATTTCTTTCTGACTGAGCACTATTGCTTCTGACCTTTATAGGTTTGAATAAAAATAACACTTCAGTCAACTTCAGTGTATGCATGACCAGATCATTTGATACATATATTTAAATACATTTTTCCAGGGCTACGCTCAGACTATTTCCAGTCGGACATTTTGTACCAAACTCTTGAGACCTGTAGGGTAGGGTCGGGTAATAGCGGGTTGGGTACCCGGTTAGTAAATTTGGACTCGTCCCAGCCCTAGTGGTCAGGCTTGTGACTTGGTCACTGTCAGTCATCTTCCCCACAGAGAAGCCTATTGCCCCCACCAACTGTTCATATTTCATTGTTTTGAGGGATGGTGGGGTGGCCAAGTGGTTAAAGCGTTCGTCGTCACGCTGAAGACCTGGGTTCAATTCGCACATGGGTACAATGTGTGAAGCCCATGTCTGGTGTCCCCGCTGTGATATTGCTGGAATATTGCTAAAGCGGAGTAAAACAATACTCACTCACTGATTGTTTTGTGTGCATATGTATATTGTGTATATAATGTGAATTATTCATGTACAGAATGAAGAAGAGAAAAGAAATATGAAAATAAATCTGTTATGTCAAAGGTTAGAGAGGTCTTTGTTATTGTGACCAACTGTGTCAGGATTGTGTCAGAATATGTCTCTGTATCCTGTTCTTGTTGAGGAGCTGATTAAGATAAGGATGGTGGACCACATGTTTCTTGTAGGTGATCCTGTAATCCTGACCACATGGACTATTCTCGCTCAACCACTTACCCGGTACTCAACAACTCACTCACTCAACCACTCTCACTCAACCACGAGACCACAGACTCAACCACGAGACCCCTCACTCAACCACGAGACCACTTACTCACTCAACCACTCAACCACTCACTCAACCACACACTCAACCACTTACTCACTCAACCACGACACGACACGACTCACTCAACCACTCACCCATCCACGAGACGACTTAACCACGAGCCCACTCATCTGGTTGATGTCTCATACATATAGGGGCCGTCAGGTAGCCTAGTAAGACAAGCATAGTCGCCTTTTACAGCAAGCATGGGTTGCTGAAGACCTATTCTACCCTGGATCTTCAGGTGTCACACCGTTATCAAGCTGGAGTGACTTTAACCACGTGATGAGAGGTATTTATGCATGGCTTGTTGTGATAAGCAGCAGATTAACACTGACAACAATGGAAATAGATAACAAGTAGCATACAGATAATACCGGTTGTTGTCAATGTTATTCTGCTGTTTAACACAACATGTCATGCATATACCTCTCATCACTTGGTTGTGGGGCGGCCGGGTAGCCTAGAGGTTAAAGCGTTCGCTCGTCACCTGAAAACCAATTCGATTCCAACATGGGTACAATGTGTGAAGCCCATTTCTGCTTTCCCCGTGATATTGCTGGAATATTGCTAAAAGCGGCGTAGAACCATACTCACTCCTCATTCATATAAGGCAAACGTGTTGCTCATTAGTTGTATATTGTAATCCTTTTCCCTCATTCACTGAATAGCCTATACACTTGCCTGTCTCATTGTGTCATGTCACGTGGAAGACCTGGGTTCGATGTCCCACATGAGCAAAATGTGTCAAGGCCTGTTTCTAGACAAGATATAAGTTGAATATTGCTAAAATATGGCGTAGCAAACTCTCCCATTCACTCAACTGTATAACCTCAGGATTAATTCTGCAGTCTTGCCATCGTTCTCTGGTGTGATTAACCTGCTTCAGTTGTTATATTGTAATATTATGTGCAGACTGACTTCTGTGCAGACTGACTGATTGCTGTCGTCTGCTCTGATAGCTTGGGGCGTTGATTCCTTTCAGTTGTGGGCACGCGTGCCCCAGTCGTCTAAGGCGCAGTAATTCGCTGTGCCGAGTTGTGTCCCTTGGGCACGCCAGAAACCTATGATCCCGTTTCGGCCAGATATGATGTTTCTAGGTTTGTCAATATCATACCCCGTGCTCGTGGGTTTCACCAAAGTGGTAAACGTCGTAGACCTGCATCACATCAGGCTTTCCTCCCACATTAAGCTGACGAGCTGTGATATAACTGGGACACTGTTCAAAGCAGCATTAACACAAAATCAGTCACTTCTTTCGTCCCATAAGATCCGGGGCAGAATAGGTCTTCAGCAACCCATGCTAGTCCAGACTTGATTATTGACCGCCGTCATATAGCTGGAATATTGCTGTGTGTGGCGTTAAACAACAAACAAAACTCTTCTTTCAGTTCGTGGTATGTATGACTGGTCTTGACTTAATTATTTACAGATCGTTGTATATTGCTGGTCGCCGCTTTAAACAACATTCAACCACACACCGTTGGGATTCAGGGTAAGAAGAGGTCCCCAGCAACCTACGCTGGTAGTAAGGGGCGACTTAGTGGATCGGGTGATCGGATGGGTGACTTAGTGGATCGGGTGATCGGATGGGTGACTAAGTGGATCGGGTGATCGGATGGGTGACTTAGTGGATCGGGTGATCGGATGGGTGACTTAGTGGATCGGGTGATCGGATGGGTGACTTAGTGGATCGGGTGATCGGATGGGTGACTTAGTGGATCGGGTGATCGGATGGGTGACTTAGTGGATCGGGTGATCGGATGGGTGACTTGCAGTTGGTTGCCATCGTAACCCGACGACGTGGATCGCTGCTCTCAAAGCCAATCACTGTATTGTCTGATCCAGATTCGATTATTTAACAGGCCGCCGTCATACAGTGAGTCCGGTGTACAACAACAACAACAACAACGACAACACACACACACACACACACACACACACACACACACACACACACACACACTTGGCTTGAACTGAACCTTTTCCTTCAGCAAACAACAATGGCAACATGATTTAATTTCTTATGCTTTATTGCTCACTCTTATATGCTTACAAACAGATATGCTTGGGCTGAATGTTTCTACATTTGACAGAGAATGGCTTTTCTCATCCAAAGAGGAACGACCTTTTATACTTTTTGCTGCGGAAGAGATGGATCAGCTGGACGTTAACATGAAATGTCTCTCAATGACATTAGACCCTCGCCATACACAACGATGGCATGACCGGTTAGTTCATACTTCGTTGGATGTCGGGGTGAAAAGTTGGAAACTGTCGAGGATTTCTGTATAATATTTTAGAATTCCTAATTAAGTTAAGAAAAAACAAACAAAATCATGCCTGGACAAATTTCCCTTTTTCTGGCTTCATATGTGCCACAATATAAAAATACTACTACATATTTAAAGAAAGGACGATGCTATTGAACAAATACATTTTTTGAGGGGGCGATTGTGTTGCTAATATCAATTTTCCTAGATACATTTAGTCAATTTCAGACAGAGAAATATTCATAATATTCGTTGGAAGTATTTAAATCTCGAAGTTAAAAAGCGGAAATCACTCGCTCCGTAATCGGCTTCCACAACAGACGTATTTTGGAGCGTGGTCTTAAGCTAACGGCAAGTAAGGAAGCATTGTATAAAAATTTTGCCCTGAAGTCTTAAAATCTGCAAAGTGCTATGTTGAGTTAGCTTGCCCTTTAAGAGTAAATTTCTCCATATTAAATCTAGAAATCAATTTGTGACTTTGACGTTGACTGTCAACGTGGGTTAGACATTGTACATCAATGTTAGGCCCTTGCACTCCAATAGCACCAGGTAGGCGTCCGATAATACTATTTATATATGGTTGTGACCCACAACAGTTTTTATGAGCAGCAAGATGGGAGTCTTAAATGCCAATTACTGATACTTATACTAATACTAATAGAAAATATGTACATGTGAGTAATACACATTCAATTAAGATACATGACACTTAATTACGGTTGTCTAGACATAGATCAAGTCTAGACACTAGAATGGGGATTAGTCAGTTCCCGGTTAAAAGGGGACCGCCATGGCCATGCAGCACACGATAGATTTGTTAACTGCACCGACATTACTGCAGCGTCTTTGTTCATTCTCAACAGTTCTGAAATTTTGATAGCACTATCAAGAATATTGAACAATAATATCATTGCGCATTTTGAAAAGTAAATAGACCTGAGTGAACTAGGATAAAGTTCTAGCATTAGAATTAGCAGCGACCATATACCGATATATATCTGGAATTATTTGCTGGCTGAGCCGGATTAATGCCGCTTTCTACAGGTATATCATGGTGTGTCAACCTAAAGCGGGAGGCAAACCCGGCGTGATGCGGTTGCTAGATGGAACCCACGAGCACGGGGATGGTACTGACAAACT